GACCCAACCGCCCCAACCGCCCCCACCGCCCCAACCGCCCCAACCGCCCCTTTTCCCCAGCCGCCCCAGCTGCCCCAGCCGCCGCCCCCACCTGCAGGATGTACTGCAGGTTGCCGCGCGGGTCGCGGCTGAAGTGCACGCCCCCCAGCGCGGTGTCCGGGTGCGCCAGCAGCCACGCGTCGCTGGTGTTGCGGTCCGGGAAGCCCTTTACGCGCGACTTGGGGATGGGCGGGACGTTGTTCTGGCGGACGCGCGTTATGAGGTCCTGGGGCGGGGTCAAGTGGGGGCCGGGTCGGGTGTGGCGGGTCGGCGGGTGGGCAGGGTGTTCGTGCAAGAAAACATGCGGGGCCACGACGGAGGGGCGGGCTTGCAGGGGGTCAGCGTGTGCCATTGCATGGGGCGGCTGATATGGACGTCGCGCTCAACGGCTGCCGCTTTTTAAGACACAAATTCCACTGCAGACACGACGGGGCTGGTCAGTGCTAAGAGAAAAGACGAGGCCCCCGTCCGCAGGCCGGAAGGCAGCCGCAGGTGACGCCAGGGTCGTCACCAGCAGCGGCCACAACGCCGCCCAGCTGGCTGCTGCCCAGGGCGCTCTCCGCCATGCGCAAAGGGCAGCCCCTGCTGGGTGCAAGCTCCCTCGCTCGGAAGACCCTGCTGGGCGCTGGGCACGCTCGCTATGGGCCTCCCCTCCCCCCCTGCTCCACTCCCTCCTGACCCAACGGCAAAGTCCGCCGTGTCTTTGTCATGCAAGTGACGCCCATCGCGCGCGCGGCCGCTCACATCCACGTCTCGGTCCCCCGTGGGCGTGAACACAAAGTCCACGCACTCCTTGGCCGGCCCTATGAACAGGTCCTGGTGGCAGCTGGGCACCGCACCCATCTCCACCACGCCTGGCGCGGCCGCGTCCTTGACGCGCATCTGGCTGGCGTTGTTGGCCTCCAGCGCGGCGTTGATGATGAGCGCCAGCAGCAGGAACAGGAACGGCGCGAGCAGGCGGATGGCGGTCGCGCGGCGGCTGCGCCACGCGACCAGCACTGCGTGCGCGGCCCAAGCAGACGCGGGTCTGGGGTTGGGTGACGCCTCGAAAATGGGACCGAATGCGATGCCATCCCCTGCACGACGCCAACCATGCATGCCCTCTGCTGCTGCACACGGATTGAACCGCTTCAAGGCCAATCACTAGACGAGCCGACCTGCCCCTCGATACTCTATCTCTATCGAAAGTTGCTGCATGTGCATTCAGAGTGTGCTGCTGCCGGTAGCAGCGCTGGGACGGTGCGCGCCGCTGACGCTCTGAGTTCCCTTCTGATCCTCTCACACACCATTTTTGTAAAAGAGGGCCGCAAACTGCTGCAGAAAGCGCCCTCTGAAGACTCGCTCGCCCCAGACGTCGACCTTGTCTAGCCAAGTCGCAGGCCCCGGGGTGGGTGGCATGCTGGATTGCTCCTGAAGCTCTAAAGACTGCTTCGCCATGACCTGCAGGCGAGCTGCCCGCGCCCCCGCGTCCTCCCCCCAGCAGCTGCAGCGTCCCCAACCAGAACTGTATGCCACGAGACAGGTTCACGTTGTATTAAAGCCAGCTGCCGTAGTTATACTATATGTGTGGATACAAGCTGCCATAAACGAGGCTGAAGTGCTGGCTGGGCAGCACTCTTGGCAGGTCCAAGCTGCTTGATGCAAAAGCAAGGCCGCATGCAGGTGTTCTGAAAGGCAGTCCACGGTATGCCAGTCACTTTTTAGTCAAATTTCACGGGTTTTGGGCATCCAAGGTAGCGCGCAGACCCGTCCAACTGAAGGGACTACACGCACCGGTGGTGGTGCAGCAGCTTACACTGCTGTCAGCAGCTTCAGAGGGCGACGTTGAGGTTGAATGAGCTGTATTACCCTGCTGAATTAGCGCGAGGTCTGGAGGCGGCCAAGTGCAGGCAGCGGAGTGCAACCAAGAACACAACCATAAGCACGTCGGGAGGGGCTCCGTTTCGGGCGTGTTTAGGGCCATGGTGAGAAGCATGGATCAATATATGCCTCGTTGTGTGGCGCCGCACCGCGGCGGTGTTGTCGATCGGTGTGGTCGTGCGGTGCAGCGTGAGCGCGCCACGCTGCTCTTGGCACACCTCCCACCGCCTGCCGCCGCCGCACCGCCATGTTGCCTTCTATGGCATCACTGCATGATGCTGTAGCCTTTAGAGGATCGTGGTCTGGTTCGCAATGTCGTGCAAGCGTGCAGCTCGTGCCCCGTTCCTCGCCACCTCGACTTGCCACCTCCGCACGGGCATAAAGTACGAGTGCATGGACGGCGCGGCCGCCTCCTCGCAGGTGCAGCCTGGGCTGCCCGTGGCCGGCATACCTACAGCCCCGCTAGCGGAGGTTCAAGTGCTGAGAAAATCCAGCTCGTACCTCCACGGGCAGCGACAGCAGCGGCACGACCAGGCAAACGGCACGGTTGAGGAGCTGCAGCAGCAGGATTACCAGCAGCAGCAGCAGCAGCAGCAGCAGCAACAGCAGCAGCAGCAGCAAGAGCCAGAGCAAGGGGTGCAGCCAGGACAGCAGGAGGAGCAGGAGCAGCCCGGCGAGGCCGTCTCCCTTGCCGGCCGCGGCGCGGGGTTTCGTGCTCAGGCCAGGGCGCTGTATAGCAAGAACGCTGTGTACCAGCGGCGCAACTGGTGCAGCAACTGCTGCCTGCTGTCGGCGCCTATATTCTTCTGCCTGCTGCTCTTTGGGATTCAGATTGCCATCAACAAGCTGCTGCTGACGGGGGATGACTACGCGGTGGGTCTGTGACGAAACTTTGCAGAGCCGGGGTTCAGAGGGAGGCTTCGTGATTGCGGATGTGGCGGCGAGCCCGGACTTGCACCCGACTTGCTGAAGGGTGCGAGTAAGCCCGACCGTGCCGCAGTGTGGCGTGAACCCCCGAGGCGTGCCCTGCCAATGGGCGAGGAAGCGCAGGTGCAGGAAACCCAAGTTTCGGGCACCCCTGATCGCTCGCTAAACCCTAGCAGCACGATTGAGCCCAGTCCTACCCCGCCCGCCTCCCTGGCCCCGCCTCCCTCAACAGTGCGGCTGCAAATGCACCAAGTGCTGCTACCAGGGGGACCCCTCCAACTGCACCGCCGTCAACATGGGCACCTGCGCGTACGACTGCCTGGAAAAGTCCACCACAGAGTGCGGCATACAGTACTCGAGCCCACGCCAGTCCTTCTTCTGCGCGATACCGCACCCCTCTTCGTGGCCCGGGGTGCTGCAGGTATGCGCTACGGCGGGCGCCGCATGTGGGTGTGGGTCATGCGTCGGACAAAGGAAGGCAGACAGGCAGGATGGAAGGAAGGAAGGAAGGAAGGCGCAATGGCCTGATTCACGCTCGCAGCGCCACGCCCTTGCCAACCCAGCAAACTTCCCCTTTGAAGCCGCCGTGAGCGAGGATACCCATGACGCCACCCCCCCTTCCCCCATTACTGCGTCCCCCAGGTGCCCCTGCAGGACAACCGCGCGCTGCCGTGGCGCCCCGAGCCCGCGCTGCTGTACACCGGCCAGGACCGCGCCACCGCAGACGCGCTCGCCGCCAACCTGCTGCCGCCGCCCTCCGCCACCGCGGCCAACCTGCTGGCGGTGCGGTCCTACCTGACCCAGTGGAACGAGACCAGCGGCGGCCAGGGGTCGGCCGTCCCCGGGGAGGTGCTGTCGCTGCTGGGGCTCACGCTGGGCACGAGCGCCAGGGTGTTTGCGGGGCTCTACATTGAGTCGGCGCTCATGAGGGAGCAGGTGGGCGGGCAGGCGGCTGGGCGCGGGCGTGAGCCCGGGCGCGTGATTTTGGAGGCGCGGGCCGGGCTTGGGCCTGCAACTCGTGCAGTTGTGCTGGTGCGTTTGTAGCAGGCGCTTGCGTTATCAACAGTAGCGG